AAAAAAACCTACAAACATCTGACAACACATACACAGAACAGTAAGAAGGAAAAGATATTGTAATTAGAAATATATGCAATAAGAAAAATAGAAAAAGCATGGGACCTCATCTTTCATTTCCTTGAAAGAATAATAGACAATTCATTTAGCAAGCAGAAAACTTTTTCTGAAAAGAAGAATAAATTAAGAGTTGATAGCTTTTCTTAAAATTTATTATTCAAATTTATTCTCTGCTGATTCACAAATTCAGTTTCTATTAAAAGCACTTACCGCAATCTGAAGGCATTGGTGCTGCAGCAACAGAAAAAATAACAGACGTTTCAGAGCTTGGGAATAAGAACCGTCCTCTTTCAATGAGGGAATCTCCTTCTAAGGAAGGTTCTGGGAGATCCTCTATGGTCATCTTCTAGAAAGCCACTTTAAGAGGAAAAAAATTAACAAACAACCTCATTAGAAATACTTTGGATTAGTTCTATTGTAGTTAAGATATCATGTGCAATGAGACTAAAATCTTTCCTTTTTACAAACACAAAATATTACTACCGTTACATTCCTACAAACTAATAAAGTTAATTACTAAAAGCTAGTAGAGTACAGTGTCAAGGATACCCAACTCCTACTTTTGACTTCATCACTGAAGCTGCATGTTATTAATGGAAAACATGATATTTCTCCCCAGTTGTCCACCTGAGCAGTAAAGAAAATAGTAATGCTATAATTAGCAACCACACGGAGATGATGAATGGATTAGGATGTTTTACAGCTTTATGAAAATGTAAAGCACCAAGTGCCTTTCCCCATACTCTGCATGCTTCTTTCTTTCCTTCACTATGAGCAAGAACACGCCACCAGCTACAGCTTTCTCCTTTTTTAAAAATTCTCATCACTTTACTTCCCCCGCAAAGCTGCAGACAATTCATCACCAAGTGATTCACTCCTGGACTCATGATTCCATATCAGCTCCTTTCCTAGCTTCTCTCCTCTACGTTTTAAAATAGCATACTAACCACGGTGTTGTAACCTCCACCCTGCTGCTGTTTCCCAATCAGCTTTTCAGATCTCAGAGCAACCTACGAGAGAGAAGAAAGATTAAATGGCCGTACAGAGTTAGAGTGACATTTTCTAACAACCAGGTCAAGTTACAGTCTAGTGACGGCTCACATGCCAAGATCAGAAGAGAGCTCGTTACCACTTGTAAGACATCTACTCAGCCAAATTCAGTGAGGAATAAAGAAAAACATTACTCTAAATAGAAACAGACAGTATTGTGCTATCGGAGATTACATTTCACAGATGAAAATCTGAAATTCTGCATCTTCAAATCCTCAAGAGTAAGAGCAGCACTTCTACTAAACAAGCCTAAGTTTTTATTCTGGAGATTGTTATACAATGCTTTTTACTCTGGAATTTGCTTGTCAGAAAGAATTTGTGGAGCTTCAAGGCATGTTTGGTTTTATTACATTTAATCTATGCGTAAATCTAGGAGTAAAAAGGAAGTATAAAACAGTAGTCTGTTTTTAACACTTAGCTTGTTGTGTGTAAGATACAAAAACCAAAATATGTGAATAGATTTATTCTAATATTTCTCCGAATAAATTTGTCACACTATTTGAGAACCTCACATAATCGACATTCTAATATAAAAGGTATTTTAGCAGTAGATCACAGATGCTAATCTTGAAGTAAATAAATTACAACCTCCTCTTCTTGCACACCATGCACAGTTCAGCCTGTCCTCAACTTGGAAAAGAGGTCTAGGTGAAAAATGTTTATTTTTCTCCAACTAATTTATTTCCTCAGTCTTATGCAGCTGTACAAATGCATATGCTGGCACAAAGAGAAGATCAAGGAGGAGGCCACTGGGAAGGGCAGGACTGTTTCTTCCCACAGCATTACCAAATTGCATTGGCTTAAGCGCTCTTAGATTCAACAAGGCCAAAAAGATCACTGATTATTTAAATTATTATTTTAATCCAGTAAGGAAAAGTTAGAGTTTACATTTTGAATAGCTTTATAGTCATCATAAACATGACAGCAACGGCTTTCTTGTATGAGGGACTAGAAAGCCTCTTAAGCTGCAAGTCACTAACTAAATCTCCTTTGTAGGGCAATAGTGAACTAAATTTGCTACCATCTGATATTTGTTCAGAGGCTGTGGCAAAACATAACTTTGTAAAACACATGAATCCACAACAGTTTTTCCACAGATAGCACATCAGAAACACCCACAAAACGCACAAAGGAACAAGTAATATACATGAGTATAGAAGAGATGATAGCTGAACCTGTCAAGTTAGAAAAAGACAGGAAAGGAATTATAAGCCTTTTACACAGCGCTGCCAGGAAACAAAAGAAACACAGTGAAAAGTAGCCAAACCTGATTGAGCAGATGGTAACAGGAAGAGGTGAGATTTGTAAAGTACGATGACAAAAGTTGCTGGAACTAGAAATCAACAAAGACATTTGAAAATTAATACAAAAAAAGACTGTTTATTGCACACAGAAAAGCAGACCGAACAGAACAGAATCTGTGCGCTTGCAAGTATCCAAGGCATCTTTTACTCTGAGGAGCTGGAAGGGAGAATACAATCTGTCACATGAGTGAAAAGAATTCAGCACACAAACTACCAAAGCAAAGCAGGCAGGGAAAGAACCCGTGTTGTTGGGTCAGTGATGTGAAGACCCAAGTGCTGCAATGCATGTGCCAACTCAACTCCGTAAAGAACAGCTTCACATGTTTACTCTAGTGCAAACACCCCCTGACATAAGCATGCACATCCTTACACCATGGAATTTTAATTTAGATCTAGAAATATATTACCATGTCATGACATAGCACTGAACCATGCAATGTCAAGACCACAACATGTTCTGCACCCATGACTACCTCAGGCATAAGAGCATCACAACCGGTTAACGTCACACATGCATAACTAGGAAAGCAAAAGGTTGAAAGCTATTTCAAAGAAAGGGAAAAGACAAACAGATGTTGTCCTTGTAATAACTTCTGTTCAGAGCAAAACCACAACTGCCTGAGGTATTAATAATATCCAAGACATACAGACTCAGGCGGGAAGTCCTGGTGAAATGGAATGGAGGGTCTTCCAAAAGAGCAATGATTTCCCTACGTTAGTAAGATGAGTTCAGACAGACAGAAAGAACCATTAGAGAAATTCAGTGAAAGAAAGGACAGAATTTTCCTGTTCATAACATTACCAGACTACCACTATGCGTAGTTTAGCACAGCAGAGAGGATCATACTTACTATTTGCCAGCCATAGGTTCTTTCAACTGAATTAAATCTGAAAATGAAAAATTGAAATATCATTGGAAAAAAAAAATAAGAAAACTTGAAGGAGTCATCAGATGCACAAACACTTATGTTGACAAGACTGAAGAACACCTACAGATTTCCCAATATCCACACATTACAGAGAAGCACATGGTACTTCTGCATACAAAAAAAACCAAAGTTGTATAATACAGGATCCAACTTTTTCACATAATAAAGATTTTGTAATTCGCAATTTGTGTTAAAGCACAAATACAAAGTTTTCCTGCAAGTGGTATAAAACACTTGCAAAGGCTAAAGCACGTCACGTCATGAAATACAGGTGCACTACGACTTTAATAGCAGAACTTGTCACAAATAGGATGCTATTTTTGACAATAGCCATGTACAATGGGCCCCTTATCATGTACTTGTATGTGCTCAAGAAGAAAAATTAAGTTTAGAGAACAAGACTCTTGCACATATGCTATCTGCTTGCTCCATAAAATTGACAGCACGGGTGGCGGACGTGTCACATGCATATAGGTACACTCAAGACTGGTTTTTCAACTGGTGTGCGGGGCCCTCTTACAACACGGCACTTTGTTTTGGGAAGCTGGAAGTGGCACCGAGTCCAGGTTGCCGGGCTTTCCAGGCTGGCTCTGCTCCTTCGAAGCCTCCCGCATTACCTCCCCCAGCAGAAGGCCTGGGACCGCTCAGAAGCGACCACGGGGCGGTTATCGGAGCGAACCCCCTTCCCCCCCCTCCCCCTCACCCCCAGGAGCCGAGGGGG